GTAGTGGTAGTGGTAGCGGCAGTGATAATGGTAGTGTTCGTGGTAGTGGTAGAAGTAGTAGTAGTAGTAGTAGTAGTAGGAGTTGGAGTAGGAGTAGGAGAAGGAGTAGGAGTAGGAGTAGGAGTAGTCGTCGTCGTCGTCGTCGTGGTGCCGGTGCCGGTGCTGGTGCTGGTAGATGCGAACAGTCCTTGATGCCTCGTACGATTCGTTGGTGTCACGACATGAAGGGTAATTTGAGCTATGAGAAGCAACATAAGTGGGCCGATCTTCGGACGGTTGCAATATCACGGTATAGCTGCGTTGCAGACTGCCGCAGATATGTTGTTTCTTACTGAGCTTCGTGGCTCAAGAACGAGCAACCAAGCTCGACATTCCGGTAGAAGCAATAGTCAATAGTCGCTCGGTATCCTAGAGCATTCGAGCCATCCCTCTTGCACGGACCAGAGATCGTCCGAGTCTAGAGCCAAAACAAGTGAGCGCGAGCTTGCTCCTTTGAGCAAAGGTAGCAGTGCTGCGTCTACGTCGCGAACTACAACCTAGCCGACAATCCGCCACTGCCAACAAGCTCTGTGAGGTGAGCATACAAGAACCATACCGAATCCAAACCCTCACGCAGTTGATGCTGCAGTACGTAGCCAATCCTGACAAACCGTCAGGGTGGAGCTTCCAGGGCAGATGCCGGAGATCGCCACCCCCGATCCGCCCGAACCTTGCTGTGTTAGGGCTGGTTGGTGAGGGTTGGGCGCTTGGAGGCTTGAAGAATTTGGGTTCAGTGTCAGACTGCCAGAGATGGCCCGCTTTTCGGGTCTGTGGAACCCCGGTCTCCTCGTCCTCATCCGGATGTAGCCACCGAGAGCATGTGGCTCCAAACATGCTGGCTAAGAGTTTCAAGTTCCAGCGCCAGCTTCAGGCAGTTCGGCAACGAGACCTGCTCGAAGGAATCCGCTGTGCGAGTCAAGTCTCTTTCTACAGGTCTGGCTGGTTTGGAAGGCACGAGGTAGCAGATTTCGGCTGTTTCCCAAAGCTGGACGCACAGCTTAGGTCGCCGCCAGCAACGCAGCCTGCAGCGCTGGCTTTGCGTGTCAGGCTATTTGGGGTCTTTGCGCTGGTAATCGTGGGGAGCCTCTCGGAGCATCAGTCGAAAGAACAAGCAAGTCCAACGGAGCCCCGAAGCAAAAATCAAAGCTGGCGCGAAATACGAAGCACTCGCACCACTCTCACGAAGCTTCAAGCGTTTCGATACCAACCGTGTTGGGCAGTGTTTCACGGTATCATTTGTTTGCTGACAATGACATCTTGAAGCATCAAGACAGGAGTGTCGCCAACGGCCCATCTTGAAAAAGAGCTTTCAAGACTCTTGCATCAACCTCACCCCTTCGTCTTGCAGACCGGGAACCGGCGCCCACGGCCACGGTCAATGGCGCGTGCTGCGATCTCAGCGTTGGATTGGCACAGAGCGTAAAGTTGCGACTTCGAGGCCTGACAGCTCAGAAGGTTGTCGCGAGTATTCTACTTTTGGGGCTTTTTTCGAAGACCTCGATCAAACCACGAACTCCTCAGCCCGAAGCCACAGTGCCAAACCGCAGCAGCAGACTTACCGACTATGTCCACCCGAAACAGCCGCATAGACCCGGCTTTGCAGTCCAAAGCCCTCAATAGATTCAAGCTCGCGGCCGTGTCTAAGGTTGCCTACGGCCAAGGCACGGGTCCCTTTGGTCAAAGGCGTAGGACCAGTGAAACGTCGAAGCGGAATACTGCAATGTTAGACTCTACTAGACTCTGGTTACTAGGCTGACGACAACTACTGAAAATAAAGCGGTCTGCTAAGTGACAATTCATCGAGCTGGGGCCTCAGAATTGAGGTTTTGCAGGATTTTGTAGGGTTTGCGCTGACTATCCTTGTGCTTCCTTGGGCATTCAATTGTGTCGACATTACAATTCAGTTGCGATGCCCTCATGTGAGCCGTTTGGTGGGGGAGGTGTATTTGTGCTTCCGTAGCCCTGCCACATCCGAAGCAGGCGCATGCATGGCACCCTTCGCGTAAGGCAGAGGTCACATTCAGGTTATCCTGGAACTGCTGTCTGAAAACTTATGCAAGACGTATTTACAGCATGTAAGCTGATGTAAGGCCCTCGCGAGCGAAAGCCGCGCGGAAGAGTGGCAACAGGAATTTGATTTACTTGGTTTAAATGTCAGGCTGCTGCTTTGTTATGTTTCGGGCTGCTTATGAAACTGCATTATTCAAGCAGCATTCGTGCAGTATTCGGGAGGTCTGGCATCTATGAAGCTAGAACGCAGGGGTCTTGGCTCGACTCCAGAGTCTAGGCATTAGACTAGATGAAGTTTTTCCAATTTATGGTTCAGTATTTCTGGCAAAGTTCTGGAAAGTATGAATATGCGCGTTCGCAGCCTCTAAGGAACTTGATTGTTGACAATTCCTACTTCCGCGACAGGTCGCATTGTTTTGGCCTTGAGATTCATGATATTTTCCTGACGTGCTTCTTGTCAGTTCTGGCTTCGGGTCGCAGGCTACAAATGCCCGGCCAACCAGCTCTGGTGGTGACCCGGCGTTGGGGGTCCCAGTTCCTCTTGCACAATCACTCCCGTAGTGTTGGCCTTGCAGTACCCATGCCGCCCAAACTGATGCCGACACTGTCCATGCAGCCCACCCCACTGTCGACGCGCAGTTGCCAACAGTTGAACGCCATTCAAACTGCAGACGGCAGGTTGATGTCCTACTGTATGCACACTCTTCTGCCCACCCTCGAAACGCTCTTCAAAGCGACTAACCCGAGACTGGTCCCAAAGTTCACGCCGATTCACAAGCGTGAACCAACGAACTCTGTCGGTGGGCCCTCGACACCTGGACTACATCCCCTTCTGGCTTGCGTTGCACACCGAGGCTGCAGCCACTCTCGTTGTCGCTGACGCTTAAGAGCGGAAGTTCAGGGCTCAGCCGCGATCATTGAATTCCAAGATGTAGTGGGGGCCCTCTTTGTTCACAACATGTCAATTGGATGATACATCCAGCCCCCAGAGCGCGAGAGCAGGCAGCAACCGAAGGACGCTGACATCTGCAGGCAAGGGGGGGGCCGATTTTCAAAAGTCAGAGAGCCACAACCCCCTAACATGCACAACGGTTTCTTGATACCTTCTGACTCGCGAGACCCACTAGTAGACTAGCATGCTAAGGCCAAGCCACGCAAAGTTACTAACAAATTACCAGGCCTTGCATAGCAACGGGACTGCCTGGCAAAAGAGCATTTCGTAGCAGTAAGCTTTGCCAGTACTGCGTTGGCTCTAGTGGGCAAGTTTAAGAGTCCAGTGGCGTGGCATGTGTCCTGTGTGACGGGGCGGTGTTGAGTCCGAATAAGGGCATGGACCGTCGAGAGGAGCGAGGGGGGGGAGAGAGCGAGAGAGCGCGCGATGGAAATCTCACTCAGACCCGCAAGACCCCTTCGTCTCGGTCTTCGAAGACTGCTCAAGGTGGACCACGGCCGGAAACCTCTGAGAAGGCCAAATCCAAAGCCGGTTTCAAAGGATTCAGGGTGTGGATGTCATACAGTTCCTGGTCGCATAGCCGTGAGCCGGGCTTTAAGTGCCCTTGCTTCTTGAACGTAAAATCGTCTTCATACTGCTGGTACAAGCATCTTGGCTTTCTCCGCTGGTGCACAGGCTTTATATAGGCTTTGGCCTGCTTCTTTTGCCATCCAGCAGTACATTCAAAGTTCAGGATGTTTAGCTGGCGCTCGGATTTGCCGCAGCCGTTTTGGTTTCGACTCGGCAGCAAGACACTACCCGCTCTGGCATGATGCTCGTTTGCACTATGTTGCACTAGTGCTACGCACTGCGCTGACGCAGCTGTTCCACTGCCTTCGCCAGCCAAGGAGCCTTCCGGCCCGACACTTCCCAGGGCTTTGAAGTAAGGCGACCAAGGTTGGGATCGGGTGAGGTGGGAAGCATGAAACTCGCACGTTTACGCCTCTGGGTTCGCAGGCACTAGTTGCCCTTGATGCATGCATGGCCTGTAGAGTTGAAGCTACTTGCACGTTGCCCAGTCGAATTTTGAACCTGTTCATTCGCACATTGCTGTTGTCCAGTGAACGTCCCGGCCTTCCTCAATTTAATCCCGCAACCTGCAAACCCTTCGCAGCCACCCCCACATACTTGGCTCAGCAGCTTCTGAGTGCACGGCACCTGGTAGACGGTAGAGGCACTAGCAGGAGTTCAACCGGCGAGGCTGGCATTCAATCTGCATACTTCTTCGAGGCTTCAGTGCCGGGTGAACCATGAAACCACCTCCTGGCGGGCACATTTGCAAAGTTGCGACACCAAGATTAGCAGGGGGGTGTGACTTCTGCAGACACTAGCTCACTAGCTTCACAACCGGACTTGGATCCAAAATCAAGCAGCTCAGATCGCGCAGCTTACGTTCCTCTGCCTGTCCGCCATGGCGCAGCCAAGCCAGGAGCGACCGCAGATCGAAACTTTGCACATCTCTCTTTCATCTCCTTACGGTTACGAATCCTCTGAAGCGGTCCTGACACCATGTCCGAGGCTCAAAGCCATTTACCCCGCTTCTAACTCCCCTTCCTGTTGCCTTCAGGGATCTACTCGTACGTTCTTTGGGATGTTCTCATTCCGCGGCCATCGCTTCTGGCCTTGGGAATGAGCCCGACCTGAAACCACCGTTTCAAACGCAGGTTCGCCGTGTTTTCCTGCTGCGTCATGGGGAGGCTGAGCACAACATTTCAGACGAGGACCATTTCCGCCTTTATTTCACTAAGAGCCGACGTTCCAGCAGGCCTTTGTAAACTCCGTAAGGTTCACTGAGCTGTACTACAGCTATTAGCTGTTGTGTTGCGCAGTGCTTGTGGTTTGAATGCTTCTCCAGGAAGCTCTGAAATTATATCTATTCAGGCTAGACTTGCCCTTGGATTCGGAACATTGCCCACATCTGCAAGTGGCGTGAGCAAGCTGCATGTTGCGGTGCAAGGCATGAAAAAGCTGCGCTTGACAACCTCCTCATGACTGCAGAACGGTATAGGCTGAAATCTTGCGGTTGCTGGCATTGGAGGTTCGTACAGCTTTACAGTTGAGGCAAGTGGGAAGTAGCTCGCTCAGGGAGATTCTTGCTCCGCACAGTGAGACTAGTATGGTGCAAGGTTTAGTGATTGGGCAGTGGCACGCTCGGGTTCCAGAATGCAACAGGCATGTTGGGGACAAGTCGTCACGGAAGGCATATGATCGAATCACGAAGTGCCCGATGAGGTTTGAATGCCCCGAGTCCGAGGCACGCTTAGTAGGACTCCGAGAAGGACAATGATGAGCAACTGAACAACCCCCAAAACTACATCGAGTCGTCCTTTCGCAAGTTGTCTTGATGCTCTCTAGAACCGTCGGCAGTCTGGGGCACGAAACAGCATGTTCTGCATTGGAAGATGCTGTGGAACCAGTTGACGAGGGCGTTAGGACCCTTAGGATATATCAGGACGGGTGAGCTGTGAACATTTGCAGAAACCTACATCTCATGGACGGTGCACGGTCAGATTTTCATGAGTGTAGGAATTGCGTGCTCGGCAGTGGATATGGTGACAATTGTCTCTGAAGCCCTAGATGCAGATGGCACCGAGGCCAAAGGTCTCGAACAACGTGGCGTGGATGGATAGAAATCTCCCGTTCTTTTCGTCCAGATTGTCGTGACATCTTCTGCTGGCTTTGCACTACGTAGGCCTTCTAGTGGCTTCAAGCCTGCAGGATGTGCCAGATGCGCCCTTGACAGCTCGAGGGCGTGGCCAAGCAAATGTGCCTGACTCAGTTCATATAAGCTTTGTTCCCTTTGCTTCGATGGGGTCATGAGAAGACCACCAAACAAGTCCGGACTATGTGCCGAGCCGCCGAATTGTACAGTGGGCAAGCCTCGAAGTCTTTGATTCTTTGATCAACAAACATGGCTTAAGTTTGTTTGTATTATGGAGAAAGTGCTCAAGAGTTCTAGGTTTGTCAACAAGCCTGCTCTGTACCCCCACTTGCGAATTTAAGGAAAGCTTTATGCCGTAGCCTTCAGCCCGATACACGCACCTAATATTATACTCGCCACCCGTCACAGCAGAACTCGCACTTGAATCCGCTCGCACTAGTCACACATGAGCCCACAAAGTGCAAAGAGCACATATCCAACTGCAGCGGCGTGTTCGAAGAGGAATCTCGTGCATCCCATTCAGCCCCTATCCTCCTCCGATTTTGTGGTTGCGGCTTTAACTAGTGGTTGGGTCTGCTCAGGATATAAATCTTAGGAGGCTTTGCTTAGAGCTGCCTCTCAGGAGGTTTGCTATGATTTATGTGGTATATTACCACACTGGATCATTATGACCCCCGCAGTGCGGTCGACGGCGTGCCAAGTGGGTGACCAAAAGCCCACTACTACTACCATGCGACGACGACAACTACGACCACTACTGCTGCTGCTGTTGCTACCACTGCAGCTACCACTGGTCTTGTAATGTCTTGTAGAACGGCAAAATGCACTCAGACACACACGCACAAGTTGAGAAGGTAGCATTCAAATCGTAGAAGCAGTTGTGCTTGGCTGTGATGTGTCTGATCACGCTCGTTTCGTGTCCCTGACAGGCAGGGCCAGTCATGACAATGGCTTCCGCTGTACATAATAAACGTTGGAACAGCTCTTGGGAGCCAAGACGAGGTCGCCGCAGTGGTCTAGTAGTCTGTTCTCCCGGTCGCCGTGGAGCTGTATGGAGCTGTGGTCAAAGCAAAACGGCGACAAAAAAGCAGCAATCTGGATCCTGGATCGTCGATGAGAGTCATCGTGTAGCAGTCGTCCAACCCCCTTGAGCCATCCCCACTCACCAGAATCCTTTCAGCGGCAACACTCTCGCAGAGGCGTGGCGAGACAAAATGGAGGAGTACGAGTTTGCACCTGTGGCCGAAGCAGAGGGGCCGAGGAGCTGCGGGTACTAAGAAGGGGCTTCAGGGGAGCCGGGTTCAGGTCTTACTGTGGCGGCAGCCGCAACAGAATAAACCGCTCAGGCGAAGCAATCCCCGCTCGCCCATGCTTGGAAGCGGAAGGATGTTACACAAGCCCTTTAGCCTTGATGGATAGATTTCTCGTCGTGGCTCCGATGCGTGGGCAAGGCTTGAACATGTCCGACGGGTGATGCAGAAGATGATTCATATAACGAGGGAATGGCAACAATGCAGCCCAGGAAGTTGTTCTTCTCTCGCCCCTCACCCGGGCCATTCAGACGGCGTGCTATGCCTTCCAGGCCAGATCGAGGGCAGCGGTACAGGATATGCAGGGACTGCCTGCTACACTGCTACACTCGTCTGCCCACGGCGGTTTAGAGCGAGCTGTTGAGACATAGAGTGCCCTGGCGAGTGTTGGCTTGTATTTACAGAATGTCGCACCTCTGCGTGATTCTACGATTCTACAACACTTCAACCACTACCAAACTCGGACATGCTCATTGCATGCAAGCCTGCCCAGAGTCCCCAAGGCTCCCGAGAGAATCAGATCCACGAGAGCAGGCCCCAACCTCAGCCCCTTCTTAGACGGAAGGAGCAGAAGCGGATGATACGCATGGCTGCCGAACAAAACGACAGAGGGCTCGCCCCACCGCACAGCAAACGCTGAAGCGAATGAGTGCCCAGGAGGAGGACGTCCCATTGGTCGTAGTCCGTTCAGCGCGCGAGCTTTGGTGGGAGGATGTTGCCAACCAGCCGCCGCTTTTCTGCAGCTGCATCAAAGGATCGGCAAGTTCCTCCGTCTACAGTGGTTTCAAGGATTGAGTTCTCCTCCTACTCCTGTAACTTTGTTAGCAGTGGTGGTAGCAGTCGTCCTCGAAGTCACAGTAGCCGTAACAGCGGCAGCAGGAGTAGCAGTAGTAGTAGTAGTAGTAGCAGCAGCAGCAGCAGCAGCAGCAGTAGAAAATTAAAAACGCAGTAGCAGTAGCCATAGCAGTAACAGTACGAGTAGCAGTAGGAGTAGCAGTAGGAGCAGCAGTAGTCGTAGTAGTAGCAGCAGCAGCAGTAACAAGAAGAGAAGTCGTCGTGTGGTAGTAGTACGCCGTCGTCGTCGTAGTAGTAGTAGTGGTTGTAGGAGAAGGAGGAGGAGGAGGAGGAGTAGCAGGAGCAAGACTAGATTAGCAGTCGGAGTAGGAGTAGGAGTGATAGTAGTAGTCGTCGTTGTCGTGGTGCTAGTAGTAGTAGTAGTAGTAGTAGTAGCAGCAGCAGGAGTAGTAGTAGTAGTAGTAGCAGCAGGAGTAGTAGTAGTAGTAGTAGTAGTAGTAGTAGTAGTAGTCGTGGTCGTGGTCGTGGTCGTGGTCGTGGTCGTGGTCGTGGTAGCGGTAGTGGTCGTAGTAGTAGTAGTAGTAGTAGTAGTAGTAGCAGCAGTAGTTGTGAGTGTAGCAAAGCA